TGATTACTATCGTTATTATGATTACTATTATTATTATGATATTCTTATTGGTATTATTATTACTATCATAATCATTACGACTATCATCATTATTGCATCTATTGTTGTTATCATTATCATTACCATTTTCGTTCTCATCATCATCATCGTTGTTGTTATTAATTCTTTGTCGATGCCGTTGCCGTTGTTGCAATTATCATTATCAGCAATAGGATTATCATCACCATTATCATCAGTTTTGCTCTTATTATAATAAAATTCATTATCATCATCAACCTTATAAGCTCTATAATGTTCCTCCACCTCGTCGTAATCTTGATAAGGGTCATCATCATCATAATCATCAACATACCTTCTTGTGTGTACATACATATATATATATGTATATATATATATATATATATATATATATATATATATATATATATATATATATATATATTTATATACATATTTATATATATGCATATATATACATTGCATATATACATATATATATATATATATATATATATATATATATATATATATATATATATATATATTTACATACACACACACACACACACACACACACACACACACACACACACACACACACACGCATATATAATATATATATATATATATATATATATATATATATATATATATATATATATATATATATACGTGTATGTGTGAGTGTGTGTGCGTATATATATATATATATATATATATATATATATATATATATATATATATATATGTATATATATATACATATATATACATATGTACACATACATATACATACACATACATATAGATAGATAGATAGATAGATAAATAGATATATACATATGTATATATATATATATATATATATATATATATATATATATATATATATATATATGTGTGTGTGTATGTATGTGTGTGTGTATACATAAACCAGGGATTACACATATACATGAAATCATTACAATTTATCTTGTTATTGTTATATTTTTTTTCTTATGACCAACAGGCAGCTGCTGCGGTTTTCAGATATCTGGAATGGTTGGATAAACATATTTACGTTTTTTTTTAAGTGTATATGAACAGACGCGCACACACACATACACACAAACACACACAGACACATACACATACTCACACTCACACCACACCCGGGTTATGTGTGTGTGTGTGTGTACATAAACCAAGGATTACACATATACATGAAATCATTACAATTTATCTTGTTATTGTTATATTTTTTTCTTATGACCAACAGGCAGCTGCTGCGGTTTCCAGATATCTGGAATGGTTGGATAAACATATTTACGTTTTTTTTTAGTGTATATGTACAGACGCGCACACACACATACACACAAACATACACAGACACATACACACACTCACACTCACACCACACCCATATACGTATGTATGTGTATAGACATACATGCATATGTACTATCATGGGAAAAGAAAAAAGTTTGTGCCACGCTAGAATATTTCCACGAGATCGGTGATGGGTATTTCATCAGCTCCATGTGTCGTCGTCCGGTGGCAGTGGCGTCAGACTGTCAAGCGCCGAGATTCAGTACTTGTATACATGTTGTGCTGTCTACAATGTCAAAGAATTGACGGCAGGTGACTGATGACTGAAATGAGTGCGTGCTGTACAAAACTATTTTTTTTTTAACAACCTTGCTTTGTGTATAATCCTGTTACATATATAAGAAAAAGCATGTCATGATTAAAGATGGTGTCATAGATAGATGTCATTAATTAATTTGCTTTATTGTAATGCAAATGTAATCTAACTCGTCTACCGAAAATTAAACGTAAGTTACTTAGAAACACTTGCGATGGACGATGCCGGGGCCGGACTCGTCATACTCTTCCTTGGTGATCCACATAGCTTGGAAGGTGGACAGAGAAGCCAGGATGGAACCGCCGATCCACACGGAGTACTTGCGTTCAGGTGGAGCAATGATCTTGATCTTGATGGTGGAAGGAGCCAAAGATGTGATTTCTTTCTGCATGCGGTCAGCGATACCAGGGTACATAGTTGTACCTCCTGAAAGAACATTATTAGCGTACAAGTCTTTCCTAATGTCAATATCACACCTCATTATGGACTGAAAAACAGTCTCATGGATACCAACAGATTCCATCCCCAAGAAGGAAGGTTGAAATAAGGCTTCAGGACATCGAAACCTTTCATTACCTATCGTAATCACTTGACCATCAGGGAGTTCATACGACTTTTCCAAGGAAGAAGAAGCAGCAGCTACGTTCATCTCACCTTCGAAGTCGAGGGCTACATAACAAAGCTTTTCCTTGATGTCTCGAACTATTTCTCTTTCGGCGGTGGTCGTGAAGGAGTAGCCACGCTCAGTCATGATCTTCATCAAATAGTCGGTTAAATCACGGCCGGCCAAGTCAAGCCGCAAAATTGCATGGGGAAGAGCATAACCTTCGTAGATGGGGACAGTGTGAGACACTCCATCACCAGAATCAAGAACGA